GCAAAACAAATTGAATGGAAGAGCATCTACAGCAACCATGGACTTGCTTACTGTACTATCAGCTACTCTAGCAACATCTGCTCCAGAAGCTCTGGCAATGTTATCTCAGAAGTGCAGCCAGAGCAGTGACAGTGAGAAAACTAAGTTGACCTGCTCTGACCAGGCAGCTGGTCCCAATTTGCACAAGATACCTCCACAAGAGATTCATTCAGCTGGGGGAGAGAGAAGTAGTACAAGTTACCAGTCTCCCATGGAAGATTCTGACGGCCAGGTTCAAGAAACTCGAGTTAATTTACCCTTACAGCTATTTAGCTCCTCACCTGAGAATGACAGCCTGCCAAAACTGGCTTCTTCTAGAAAGTATTTCTCTTCTGACAGTAGTAATCCCACTGAGGATAGGTCACCTTCATCTTCCCCTCCTGTTGTGCATACACTGTTTCCGATGAAGAGTTTGGCAGAAACTGTTAAGTCTGAGAAGTTGTTGGTAAGCAAAGAGGTCAGCGCAAACCCCGACTCTAGCAGGACTTGTCGCAGTAACATGCCTTTTGATCTTTTTAGAGGGTCAAATAGGGGAGCTGAAGCTACCTCCATTCAAAGTTTCCCTAACCAACCTGGCTATACTTCTTCTGGCTCGGACCATTCACCTTCTAGTTTGAACTCTGATGCGCAGGTACTGTTGACTTACTACGTTTTGCTTATTTCATGTCTGTACACTTTTGTTGGATATTTGTCTACATTTATTGAGGGATTGAATTGATTGTTTTGTTCTCGGACAGGATCGCACAGGAAGGATATTATTTAAGCTATTTGATAAAGATCCAAGTCATTTACCAGGGACATTGCGCACACAGGTTAGGAGTTTATGGTTCTTTTTAATCACTCCTGTTGTATGAATTGTCAAGACAACATTGTAGTTTGTACAGCTTTCTTTCTTTTTTATTTATTTTTATTTTTTATTTTTTTTTGGAGGGAGGGGGGCTTCTTACAAAGTTTGTTGCTCTGTTCTTCTAGATATACAATTGGCTTTCCAACAGTCCATCTGAAATGGAGAGTTACATAAGGCCTGGTTGTGTCGTTCTATCAGTTTATGTATCAATGCCACCTGCTTCCTGGGAGCAAGTGAGTGATCTTTTTTAGTTCTAATCGGCAATCTTTTTATTGTACTTTGGCTGACCACTTGTACGGCGCGTGTATATTTTTCAGCTTGAAGAAAACCTGGTTCAGCATGCCAGTTCTTTGGTTCAAAGTTCAGATTCTGATTTTTGGAGAAGTGGGAGGTTTTTAGTTAATACTGGCAGGCAATTAGCATCACACAAAGATGGTAAGTACTGATTAGTAGTGGTGGCTTTTGGTTACTGATACGTCAACCCCCTTTGTGCTTGATTTTTAATAAGGTGCTTGTGCTTTTGTTTTAAAAAGCAACTTACTGTCTGTTTCTAATTTTTACCAGTGTGCTTCCACTTTTGTTTCTTTTACTTTTGTTTTTCATTCTCATTTTATTTAGGCCAAAAGAATTCTTTTGTTCATAATCAACTTTTTCTGTATTTTGATAATTCTTTAATTCCATAGCATTTCAACTGTTATGTTTATGGAGCTCTTGAATTGTGATTTCTACTTTTTTTTCTAGTAGCTCTTATGCGATAGTAACACTTCTTCAACAAGTTTTTCTGCAGCAGCTTCTAAGTATGACTTGTGTGTCATTGGCATGCTGCCTTGTAATTTTCTCTTGAGTTATGTTTGCGTGGCATAATTTTTCAGAAAAAATTCGTACATGCAAAGCTTGGAGATCATGTAGTTCTCCAGAGTTGATCTCTGTGGCCCCTTTGGCTGTTGTGGGTGGGCAAGAAACTTCTCTTCTGTTAAGGGGTAGAAATTTGAATACCCTTGGCACCAGGTTAGTACAATTTTCTTTTGTGTGAAGATTATTTTGTGAATTCCTCGTCTCTGTTTCTAAAGTTTCTGGTCATGCAGGATTCATTGCACGTATATGGGGGGTTACACGTCAAAGGAAGCTACTGGTTCAGCATATCATGGAATGATGTTTGATGAGATAAACTTGGGTAGTTTTCAAATTCGTGATGCATCTCCTGGTGTTCTTGGTCGCTGTTTCATAGAGGTAAAACTTTAAGGAATAATTGGTTTGTTTCAGAAATTGATGTAGAAAAGTTTGTGTTGTACTGACCTTTGCTAATATGAACAGGTGGAAAATGGTTTTAGGGGCAACAGTTTTCCAGTGATAATAGCTGATGCGACAATCTGCAGAGAATTGAAAGTCCTTGAGTCAGTGTTTGATGCTGAGTCAAAAGTATGTGATGTAATATCAGAAGATGAAAGTCATGATTATGGGCGGCCGACATCAAGGGAGGAAGCCCTTCACTTTTTGAATGAGCTAGGATGGCTCTTCCAAAGAAAAAGGATATGTTCCATGCTTCAAGAGCCTCATTATGCACTCAGCCGTTTCAAATTTTTACTCACATTCAGTGTCGAGAAAGACTGTTGTGCTTTGGTTAAAACACTTCTAGACATACTATTTGAAAGAAACTTTGACAGTGATACGCTGTCGGGAGGGTCAGTTATGCTGTCAGACATGCAGCTTCTGAACCGGGCAGTAAAAAGGAGATGCAGGAAGATGGTTGACTTGCTCATTAATTATTCTATAGTTAATAGTGACATTGACAAGAGATACATCTTTCCACCTAATCTTGCTGGACCTGGCAGCATGACACCTCTTCATTTGGCTGCTTGTATGTCAAGTACGGATGACATGATTGATGCTTTGACAAATGACCCGCAGGAGGTAAAAATAACTGTTGGCTTGCTTGTCTATAAAATTTTTTGGAGTTTGCACATCGCGCTTGAATCCAACTCATAGATTTTGATTGTGTGCTTTTCTAATGGATGGTATAAAACTTACTACCAGTCTTACAAATATGCGGACATAGATTTTGATTTTTCTTTTGATCTTTTGTTTTACTCTTTCCCTTTAGATTGGCCTGAACTGCTGGAACTCCGTTTTGGATGCTAGTGGGCAATCTCCGTATGCTTATGCTTTGATGAGGAATAACTACTCTTATAACAACTTGGTGGCTCGTAAGCTTGCTGACAGAAGAAATAGTCAGGTTACTGTCACAATTGGAAATGAGAGAGATCAACCTCAGATGAGTATGGAGCTGGAGCATAGGACAAATACGCGATCCAGACAAGGTAGTAGATCATGTACCAAGTGTGCAATTGCGGCAACCAAATACAGTAGGAGAGTTCCAGGTGCACAAGGCTTGCTTCAGCGCCCCTTAATTCATTCTATGCTTGCCATAGCTGCTGTTTGTGTGTGTGTGTGCTTGTTCTTGAGGGGCTCCCCAGACATCGGCTTAGTTGCTCCTTTCAAGTGGGAGAATTTGGAGTTTGGCACAATTTAATCTTTTATGGGATAAGTACTGATTAAGAAAAGAGAAACAAACTTTGGGTTGACGTTGACCTTCCAGATTAGCTTTATGGTCACGATGGAAAAGAGAAGTTTTCTGCTTAGCGGCATTCAAGAGGAAGCGCAGGGGTGTGATGGGGGACCTCATAAGCAAGAGAATTCTGAATCAGGCTCAGGTATTTGGTGATTCAGATGCTGGATGTTTATCTCCAACTAATCCGAGGCATGTGCAGAGTCTTGGGTTGTTATGCTCGTTTGTGTTGCGAAATGGGTGAATTTTTTGTCTCCCTCCCCCTTTAAACGTAGAAACTCTTCTGCCCTTGAGACAGAACCTAATATAATGTGTTTTTTTTTTCTTTTTTTTCCTTTTTGGCGGGGCAACCTATTATAATGTTGGATAAGATGAAACGTTGGCGACGGGCAGATTGTAAGATCGTATAAGTATCCATGGAAAGGGGGATGAAGGAAAAATATCGGAGACCCAAATAGAAGGAAGAAGTGTAGGTGGATAAAAATAAGCAGTTATACCAAAATTAGAGGTTAATAATATAGGTGGGTCCTCTTTTCTAGTATGGAGATATAAGCCCAAGTTTCTCACTGTAGAGTTGAAGGGCGGAGGATCAATCAGGGGAAGGACAGTTTCATCGTATTTGAATATAGTTTATTTAAGCGTATTTCTTGCTTTCTAGATTTTTTTTAAATGTTTCTTTCGGGTGTAAATTTCAGAGATTGATATTATTTGACAAACGGTAAAGATGTCTATTACGCCTTCGACCTCGTCCCTTTCGGTCTTGGACCGTTGGAGTACTATAGTATTTCTGTTGAACATGTCACAACATCAACAAGACGTGTATTTATAAAGATTTTTTTAGCCAAAATAATATCTAAGATTGTTATAACTTTTTGTTGGTCTTTGAAAATGAAAATTGATAAAAGTGGTCACTATGTATGTTCATCATAAATCATTTGTCTTGTCGTTAGATTTTGTTATATTTTATGTTAGTATGATGATAAGGCATATGAGGTGATACCATCAATTCAATCATGTGTTGCCATGTGGATAACCATAAAAAAATAGTTTTTAAAGAATTAAAAAAATAGGTCCTCTCATCCAGCCGACGCAACCATCTCCCAAGTAACCTAGATGTCAGCGACCGCTCACCTTTTTTAAGTTGTTTTTCCTTATTAAGTTCTCTTCACTAAGAAAAAATTTAGTTATTTTGAAGACCTAAACTATTTTCAAATAATAATTTTGTTTTATTAATCTACACAGCGACACATTATTAGATTGAAGGGATCACTTATGTGCCACATCATCAAACTAAATAGCAAATGAAAACCGAAACGAATGATAAAAAATATTTATGATTAACAAATTCGAGACTAACTTCTATCGATTTTTATTGTTAGAGACTAAGTTGAGGAGTTATGTCAGTATGAGAGATCACGTTGTCTTAAAAAGACTTATTATAAATTATCATGTATTAATCTTGCACTATTTCTATTCGGCCGAGGGAATATTTCATACGATATTTGTCTAAATTATGAGGAGAAATAAGTCATACTTAGGAACAGGGAGTAGAAAATTGCTCTAGGCAACTTGACTTGGTCTTTTTAGTCCACACCACGTGTCAACCACCCATTATCATACAAGACCGTTATATTATGTAGCCGAATAGGATCGGGAAAGACAGTGAAATGAATAAGTAAATAATACATGACTGACACCGTACGATGAACCTGTCATATTCTATTTGGTAATTCATAAATATACAGTCCAAAGTGGAGAGCTTCATCGATCAATTAGGGGCATTGGGTCTTCCTGATCGGGCAATATTCTGAACGAATACTTCGGCAACACTTTCCCCAAGCCCCTCAATGAGGCCGCCTATGAATTCAATGACGACTTGAGATGCGAGGCGAGCAGCAGTCCCCAACACACTCGGCTTTTCTCGCCCCTTGAGGCCGTTTTCTTGCAGCCCATTTATCATGTTCTTGGCGCAAACTGCATGAATATGGTAATCACACACCTTGCAGTGGTAAACCCTGCCCGACCTCTTCCTCCTGCACTCCGCACAAACAAAACTGCTACCAGAAGAATCTCCGCCACTACCACCACTTGCTGCTGCTGGTAAAAGCCTTAGGGTATGTGGGTGAGTCTGCAGGTTTATTTCTGAAGACAACATCGCACAGCAAGGATGCATCTGGAAGCTGCATGCGCTGCATCTGAAAGCATAACCTTTGCTTGGCTTGTGACAAACATCGCACTTGGATTGTGCAATTCCTCCTTTAACTAAATGAAAAAAATATTCAGCGTGGTATCGCATAAAAGGAAAGACACATGTGTATGTATTAGAATGTAAGCATCTAATTAGTAACCAACAGTTTGGTACGAGTAGCCACTAGCTAGCTAGTTTAGAATTGTTTCAAGATAACCTGTATTTAAATTAGTCTACGTACATGAAATAACGACGTCTGATATGTACATATGCATGACAATTGATTATGAGAGTGACGTACGTTATGAATGAATTACCTGCTTTAGAATAGAAAACAAGTTGGTGTTGGAAGTGAAAGGGATGGTTCTTTAGAGCTGGAGGAGCCAAGGCACAAAAATCATGGAGCTGAAAATCACATTGTTGGCAAATGAACCTCTTGCCGGCGCCGTACTCCTTTCAGCCGGCGCAGGTGAAGAGGTCGGGCAGGATCACTTGGGACAGAGGGTGTTGGTGATGACCGAACTGAAGTATCTCTTCCCCAAATATCAGTTGAGGAGATGTGGGGAATTCGAGCAAAGGAGACTTATTATTTCTAGGGACAATATTATCCAGCTTTGTGGGTTGGGATTGGGATTGGGGTTGGGATTGGGATTGGGAGGCAGTTGATTCTGACCTCCTGAGGAGAAAAGTTCTTGTCTTCTTCAAGGGTTTATTGCTAATCATCATGGTTGGTTCTGCAGCTGGTCGAGTAATGGATCTCTGGTTAGCTAGCTTGTTATTTTGGTGGTGCAAATTGCAAAGCACAAGGGAGAATATTTATGCTAAAAAAGTTGACACTATTTGGGGAAAAGTGATCTAATGATCAAGGACCTAAATTGAGGATTTATAAGGCTACATTGTTTGGGGTTCACCTTTCAACGTGAACTGTAGTCCGAAAATGTCCATCCTTTTAGTTTTACCTCTCATTCAAGAATCAAGAATAATCTAAGCATAAAATCAATAAAACTGAAAATTGTTTAATTATTTGATTTTCTCACATTTTTCTAGTGGTTTGTTTGTTTGTTTTTTTTCCTGAGAAATTGACATTTCATTGGTGAATTAATCAAAGCGTGGACATGTGGCAAAGAAAATGTTCTCGGATAAAATCTTATCCAAGTAAAATTATATGGGAAACCTTAGCAAAATTAATATATATATATATATATATATATATAAAGGAGATCCGCATACTTTTAATAAAATACAAGAAAATTATCGTCCGACAAGAAGGCAAACTTGACATCAAGGCACAACAGCTGCAACAACGATTTCAAAGGCCATGTTGGGTGATCTGATCTTGTGAGCCACTCCATTTGCCCTACGTGAAACATGTTGTACATGAAACTAACGCAACCTTAATCAAATAATTAGAACTAAAAAAATTGTGGAGTTAAAGCTTGCACTAATTAAGTCTCATCTCAAGGTCACGAAGAAAATGAATGATGGAGAAAGACTCTTCATATACCACAATCACCATTTAATTAACTAGTTTTTTTTTAATTATTAGTTTATTAAATAATGAATTAAATCTAAAAATCTGATTAATTCAAATGATGTGGTTGTCTACATCAAATACTACCTAAGATGGTATAAAAATATGATACAAAAACGTGATATGAATAGCTTTACTCAAAGAAAATTGAGTAAAGGGGTTGAGGGCACAAAGCACTTGTGCACTTTGCTGTGGAAAAAGAAGATACCGTCGCACCAAAGTCAAGGCGTTTGTCTTTTAAATACTTTAGTCGTGGGCAATTGCATTGGTCTTCGACGAAAATCCGATACAAAGAGAAATCAAGGAAAATTTTGCTTCCTTATCTGCTTTTAATTATGAATAATGCTAACGAGATTATTATTTTACACTACATTTGTATATCATATAATCTGACAATTAATGTATACAATAAATATCTAATGAGATAAATCCATTAATTGACTTACTACACATCATATGGTATACCAATATAATATAAAATATGATCTTTCTAATATTTTTCTTTAATTAGCTCACTTTGCTTGTTGGTTTGTAGAGCATCTTACGACAAATATTAAAAAGCATGCTTCGTTTTTTCAATTTCTTGTTGGAGTGAGTGATTCCCCAATTATTAGTTGTGTGTTTTTTTTTCAAGTGATTCTCTTTTATAGTACTCACTTTCTATCCTTTACACCAAGAAATACACAAACGAAACTACAAATTAAAAAAATAAAACACGATATTCCTTGATACGTGTATCTTTACGACTCAAGACATATATCACAACTTTATTAGAACTCGCTAGTAGTGTTTGGACTCAATATTACACCATTAGCATGAGCAATTAATGGCGTTAGATGTGTGAGATGTTAAGATAATTTTTTAATTATTGTTGAGGGATAATATTTAGATTTTTAATAATAATAATTACCTCTTAATAATTTATTAAAAGAAAAACTAATGAAAATAACCTCAAAACTTTAAAATTCAACCAAAAGCAATCTAATAACTTTATTTAATGATAAGGACAAAAATGAAAAAAATGACAAAAAAAATTCTTCTTTTGTTACAAGATATTCGTGGTTTATACCATACTTCACTAATCTCCAAACTACTGAGTACCGATCAACTTTGTAAGACCTTAGATTATCGCCTATCTGGAGTGAATATCACATACACTCGCACCATCGGGAGCGAGGCCTACCCCCTTAGAGGATTGATCCAATCAGGTAGTTCCCAGTGTGGACGAACATAATCGACTTACTCTCAGAGTCAACTGGAACTGTCACATCCCGAACTTGGGGTCGGTGAAAAAATAAAACCCCGCGCCCGGAACGCGAATAAAAGTAAAAATAAATAAAATGAAATTGACACGAGTTGGAAAATGAACTCCTCTTATTAAAAATAACTCCAAAATCCTTGCAAGGTGTATAAAAGTAATAAATTAAAATCTTTAAATTTCTCCTCAATCACAACCTCAGCTCTTCCAACACTTATCTTGCCAAATAACTCATCTATAAAATAATAGGTGAGGGGTGAGCAACAACCACCGTTGCTCAGTGAGTAGAATATATAACATGTCAGTCAAGAGATGCCATTTTACACACTCTAGAAAATACAATAATAATATCAAAGCTTTAATCACGTAATTTCATATCACATCATCCCTTCACATGTCCACTATATCCTTCATAAATTGTAACTCACCACGTGACCCCTAATGGCCATTTTGCCCTAATGTCCCCGTGTGCACTTTACATTTATCCCTCGGATTAATGCAACACCAAAGTTCTCATGCTCCATGAACATCTCAAACAATTCACTGATCAGATATATATATATATATAACAACTCTGAAAGTACTTCACAAAATCCATCATGCTTGACTTGAAATCGAGAGATTAAAAAATAGCTCAAAACCCATGATGTCTCATGGTTTTCGTTTATTAGAAAATAAGAATATTTGCAACACATTATATAAACCACTCACCTCGATTATCCAAGCTTTGGCAAGACAACCCAACTAACAATCTCCACACAACAAGCATACTAACCCAAACTCTCTTTCTTGTCTCTTTGTAACTCGATCTCTCTCCACACACACATATTAGGACTAACACTTTGCATGTCAAACTCTCATGGTTCCTTTCTCATTAACATGCATGCAACCATAGACCTTATTTGTGACATCCCGTCCCGGGATTATTAAAACGTACGTGTGAATTGACCATTTTACCCCTAGTTCGTTACTTTACGTGTAGTTTTGTGTTGTGTGGTGTTGTAGGACCACACACACTCATACACACTCTCTTTCTCTCCCGGGATTCCCTCACTCTCTGTCTCTTCTCTGTCTCTCTCTCTCTCTCTCCCCGAGCTCCATTATTCTTCTTCTTCTTCTTTTCTTCATACGGACAACACACACATATACTCAAACCTTCACAAATCAAGAAACCAATTACACCATTGAACTCGTGAGGTTGTGAGGAGCACAACCATACCAAATTCAGGTAAGAATTCTAACGTTTTCACGTCGTTTCGACGAGGTCCGTTTTAGTTACTATTCATGCAAACCTTAAACTAGCCTGTTTTTGGAATTTCTAAGCTTGTAGATGTCTTAGTGAGGTCCCAAGGAACCTCGGAGCACTTCGTTGGACGAGTTTGGACGTCGGGATCGTCCTGTTCAAAGTTGGCCGGTTTTTGAAGTTGTGGACAGGTATGATCTAGTGAGTTTTAGCTTTTAAAAGTGCTCTAACGTTGTTCTACTAGTCCTAAGCTTCATTTTGGCGTTTGAATCATGAAAAACGGTTGAGAAACGAGTGAGAAAACACGGTTGGAAATATTCCCAGTTTTCCGGCGCCGTCGTCGGCGCCGGAGTCTCGCCGGAGAAGGTGACGGAATATTTCGTCAAATCTGACGGAATATTCCTGACGCCGTTAACGGAATCTGTCAGTTTTAACGGAATATTCCTAACGGCGTCAGTTGACGCCGTCAGTGTGCATGGCACGTGGCCGCGCGTGGGGGGCGCGTAGGGTCGTGCCTTGGCCGGCGCGTGGGGGCGCGTGCGGCGGAGGAAAAATATTCTAAAAATATGGTTGTGATCCTGAGGTTGTGTAGAGCACGTTGGTATATTCAATTGTCCATTTTGAGCAATGTATGAGAAGTTATTACGAGAAGTTGGTTATGTGCTTTTAAATTAACGTTTTCGTAGCTTTTGCGCGTATAGGTGATACGTATTCCGAGGACGAGCGTACGCACTCGAGGCAGGGGGGCTACGACCCTTCCACTTATCAGTGAGTGGGCTTTTGTTTTCCGTATATACCTATATACATTTATATTCCCAGAAATAGATTAAAAAGGGTAATTGATTTATGCCATGCACCTTATTATTTTCACTTATGCATCATCACATGCATTAGTAGCGGCATACATTTATATATGTGTATTGGTGCTGTGGACGCACAGGTAAGTGCCAGGTAAGTGGTATTCATGTTTGTATACAGTAGTAGTTTCAGATGCTTAGAGAGCTCATAATCTGCACCCCCGGTGTTAGTGCTCCCGCCCAGAGTTAGGGGCATAGCCTTCACGTGTATGTTCACCTCCCGCACCGCATGCTCGCCTTGGATCCAAGTTAGGTGCACAGCCTGTCGTACAGACCACATTAGGTGGTTCCGACTCGTAGGTGACCCGCGATTTATCGCACAGCTTCACGTGATCGTAGCACTAGAGCATATATATATATATTACACCAAGCCTGTCGTACAGACCACGTTAGGTGGTTCCGACTCGTGTGCAGATTCAGTTATTGAGATGAGATTGGAGCTCTATATGCAGCCGTACAGGTCACGTTAGGTGACTCCCGGCTGCCAGATTATATGTTATTGATGTGAATTACGCTTGAGCATTTACATTTGATTATGAGATTCCGTTGTGGCATATTCTCGAGCATGAATGGCATATTTTGGAGCATGATTGGCATATCTATACATACGTATATATATATGTTCATTTTCTGGGAAGTATACAGGTTTTACGGCGAGGGGTTAGAATGTATTTTGCTAAAGAGTTTTCAAAGAGCTTTGTTTTTGCCCACTCACGCTTTTGTTTTTGCGCCCCTCCAGGTTCTAGTGGTCTAGCAGGTTCGGTGGTTTTTCCCAGAGGGCGTCCCGGCATTTCTGACAGACACTCACCATTGTAGGGTCACCTTCGGGTGTATTTATGTCGCATCTTTCCTTTTTGACTGCTGTAGACTTGCTCTGAAAGTGTGTCTCACATACGCTAGCACTTGTTTTAGTACTTTGTATGCTAGTTTTTAATTATTCATACTTTTATATTACTATCTTAATAGCTTCCGCACGCGCACATGGCTACGTCACCTTCGTGTGACGG